TGTCATAAAAATGATACTGTTTTTCAGCATGGTGTAAAACCAAAAAGTTTTTAATTACGTTAATTATTACGTTATTTTTTTTATAGTTTTGAAAAAATTTTGGGGGTAGCCTAATTGAATAAAAAAAAAAAAAAAAAAATAAGAACCACCCTTACGTATATATTATACAAATCTGGTTGCATCATGCCCTAAATATGTCTACCCCACATGCAACCATTGGACATCAGGTTGGGCAACCCTGCGGTTCCATAATCCAAATCATTACCATTCTCACCGGTATGCTATCAATATTGTTCATTATCATTATATTTTGTTTTGAATTAATAATATCAGTATCGTTACTATTATACATTTTAAGCTTGATATCGGGATTCTTATTAAGATTATATTTTTTTTATTTTTTGTTATATATCCCTCCTGGGCGCCCATTCCATATTTATGATATTTGGTTATTTTATTATTTCTGTTATTATAATATACATTAGGTAATAGCGGACCAATGGTCAAGCAAAAATGTATTAGTTATTTATTTCTAATACATGGTTACCCATTGTATGATACGTTATTATACGGGGTTTAAAAGATGCGAGTCGATGCAACGAACTGCTTATTCAAAATATTTGCCTTGGTGAAACAACCATTTTGGAAGAGTGCAATGCGGTGTAATAGGTTTGCGCAAAAAATTTGCAACACGATTAATATCGTGTAATAGGTGTAATAGGTTTGCGCAAAAAATTTGCAACACGATTGCACCTCGATCCCTTTTTACCTGATAAAATCCCAACACCATTGCACACCAAATTATATGTGTAAATACTATGTATAATAATTTATGTACAATATAAAATAATGTATACTTTACATACTTTCTATAGTTTGCATTTACATGCACTCAAACTATTAATTCGCAAAATGCACATTTTCAAAATTGAAATGAAAAATTGATTGAACTAATGATAGTTATAATAATAATATCGACTAATGACTACCAGTATACAAAAAAAAAAAAATTTTAATAAAAAAAATTTCAACTATTGACCATGTCAGTATATACATTTAGCATACACGTAATTTAATTTTAAACATAATTTTTAATGTATATTTACAGAAAGTACAAATAACACATTAATAAAAAACTTATTAAAAATGATGAAATAAAATATTTTTGATTTTAAAAATCAGGTTGCAATTATTTTCTTAAGATGTTTAGCAATTTATGTAACAGGAAGCTTAAACAACTACCGTGAATTTAAATTTAAATCAGACTTTGTATGGGTATATTAAATATTTTATACCGAACACAAACCATTAAAATCATGTTTCTTTGAAATAAGTGCTACGAAAAAAACGATTATAGTCAATAAAGAAAAAAATATGAAAATTATATAATTTTGTCTTTTGTTTTAAAAAGTAAATACCACACTTAATATTTTTGAATTATTTCATTCTTTATCTATAAGTTTTATGAATTCTGAAACTTTAAAACTGCATTACTTAACAGTTTAGTAATACTAACTATCATAAGATCGTATTTTCCCGTGGTCCTTAAAATAGTAAGTAATATTAGTTATAACTGTTTTAAATTTACTTCGCAGTGTGATACTTTTGTTGATAATAAATTATAAGACATTCCGAAATGCAAACAAAATAAATTTAATATTTATATAAATTTAAATCGATAGGTTTGATTTTAGTCATTATCATACAGCTAAATGAATAAGAAATTCAAAAATTTCAATATAGTTGAAAAGTTTGAATTTACTATGCACTCGTATAGCACTGATAAAAATAACTATACATTACTGGTTTATTTTTATTGTTTTAATTAAATTTTATGTATATTATACATAAAAGATAGAATAATTTGGATAACACATTATTTATCAATAGTTCCACACAAATATAAACATATTATTTTAATATTTTAGTCAGTTATATTAATAAATTAATATCGACGGTTAAACGAATAAAAATTAACACCATGAAAAAAAAATATGTTATAAAAATCAATTAATTTTAAATTCAAATATCCGTCATTTCAAGATAAAAGTATTCACAATTTTTAGAAACATGTAGCAAAAACTCAAATTTGATTTTTGTGAACAAAAATATACAGCATAAGAGGATCAAACGCGTTGTTTATAACAGAAACCATATTCCTAAGTACATATCCACAAATTATATTCACTAACTATATACTGCAGTCAGTTATTTAAAATTCTCAACAAATTAGAACCCGAAATAAGTTACCACATCAAATTATGCTAATTAATAGCGATTGCATGTGAAAAATAATAGTATAATGATAATTGAATATGTTTATTAATATAATTAACAACACGAAAAAATAATTTAAAAGTTATTTTGATAATTCGATAAGATATCACATATTCAAAAACAATAATTTTTGTTTTGTATTATTATATTATTATTTATATTATAGTTAATTATTAAAAAAAATAATAACTATTCTAAACTATAGACTTATTATGGATCCAGATAAAACCTTTTTTAAATTAATTTATACACATGCACACCCAATTATACTTTGTTTTTTATATAATTTAGGTTTTTATATTACTTAATAATAATATTAATTTTCAAAAAAAAAAATATATATATATATTTTTATTAAATACTCAAACATATGTTTTTAATACTATACTGTCCAAGTTAAATAAAGTTAAATATAATGTTATAAGTATAATTTTGTTAAAAACCGGTATGCCATAAATGAGATATTGATCAGAGAAATCTTTCTAGTTGATATCGTGTACATTCGGTTTAGGGAAAAAAATTATATTATGGTAAAATCAAAACTATAATCGTTTCACTAATATGTAATAAAGTAATTGCAAAGTGTCAATTATATTAAAATTAAAAAGTTATGTAGCAATAATTCATAATAATAATTCACGAATAAAAAATGTATAACGGCGCATTATATAGACAATTTTGATACTTCTCTGAATATTTACAACATTTCATTTTTACATCGAAAATATTTATAAATTATTAATATATATAAATACACATATTTAATTGAATAAGTAGTATTAACTAAATCTATGTGTAATTTATGAATTCATTAAAACGAAGAAATTAATTGTGATACATTTATGACGAGAAAAAGGATATAACAGGATTACAGTAGTATAATTAATCATTTTTTGAAATTATTAAAATATAAGTTGTAATGTAATATTTAAGTAATTTTTAATAAAACGAAGTTTTAAACTTTGGTGGTTATTTACATAATTTATTTTATCTGGGTTTAATCTTAGTTCACAAATTGTAATTATTTAATCATTAAAATGCATAAGAGTAAAAAATCTAACAAATATTGAGTAAAAAGAAGAATGTATTAGTTTTACTATGATATGTGTGTTTTTTTTCTTTGTAATAAGATTTTAACGAAAATTACTCTAACCATCATCAAATTATCATCAAATAACATAAAATGGGTTTTAAATTGTACTCTAAAGGAGTAATTTTAGGAATTTATCAACAATTTTCTTAAAAATTACAAAAAAACTTATGAAAAGTTTAAAAAAAAGCCATAGAGATTTTAATTTGAACTAATATTATTGTTCACTATATATGATATTATTTTCAAAATATTTTTTGAGCTATTTATAGAAAATTAATATTGCCATATATTTCTGAAATTTTTTCTAAAAATGTCCAAAAAATAATTTAGTTTTGAGTAAAAAATTTGAAAATATTATACATAATTACTCATACAGATCTCTGGTCAATTCAAAAACTAAGCTTTAATAAATAAGGAAGCAATACGAGTGTTGGAATATTAAATGTCGAAAAAACGATAAAATAACAAAAATTCGTTATATTTTTGAAATCAAAAGTTCTTAAAATATAAAATGTTTATACTTAAGACTTTAAAATTAGATACAAGTTTTTCATAAGATTTTCTTAGTACCCAGAAAAAGAAAATTTATACCGAAGACACGCTACATTTTATAAGCATCACAAAATTAAATTTTGATGAAATCAGATATTTCAACGAGTTTCTATGAAATTATATTATTTATTTAGTTCAAAGACATTTCATAGTTTCTAAATATTTTAATGAAATTTATGGTGTTTAAATATGGCACTTGATATTTTGGAATTTCTTAAATTTTACATGCTCTTATTTTTATTTGTTGCAAAAGTTAAGATATTTGAAGTTCAACATTCTATTTTAAGGACTATAGTGTTCCTATTATATATTTTTTATAAATATTAACTGCTCTATCCAAATTAATTCACTATAAATCGTTTCATCGAATGACCACTCAGAAATAAAACAATATAATTCTAACAATATCACACCAAAAACTGTATACGCCATAAATAATTAAAATATTTTTAAGACATGTGATGAACATAAGTACGTAAGTAGATTATATATCAAATTTAATTAACAAAATAAAATAAGAAGTATATTTTACAAACGATGGCAAATTCATAAATACGTTTAAATATTTTACAAAAATATAGTTGAAATCTTGTAAAATAGTTATTCAATGAGTATTGTCAATTTTATAAGATAATTGCATTGTATAATTTTCACTATGTGATGAAGAAATAACTGATATGTTAATAACCTTAATAAACAGTTTTAATTTATTATTAGTTATGAGTTTTCGTACGATACATAATAAATACTGTTATATCTTGAAATTTAGGTACAAGAATAGTCATGAAAAAATAAACCCAAGTATATTTAATTTTGATTAAACATTTTTGGAATATAGTCCAAATGACGACTGATAAAAATGTAAATATGTACATAGAATTTAATATGATATTATAAAAGTTATATTTTAAATGCTTCACTACAAAAAAATTAAAAAATAAATATGGATAATTGAATAAGCTTTTAAATGAAAATTCGACTATTTTTTAATTTTTTTTAAAAAAACTACAATTATTATTCTTTTGTTATAAAATGAGTTTAACATTAAAATAGTTAAATTCAATATTAAAATACTTACCTAAAAACATTTTTATCGATGTAATAGTGAACATCAAGTAATGGATTCCAAAGTTATGCCAATAGTACCAGGTTGCCATTGTCTGAAAAAATAAAATAATGTTATTACTGTTAGTGTCTTATTTTTTCATATTAATAATCTCCAAACACTAAGTATAGTAGTACATTTTAAACATCTCAATAAATCGTACTTATATTTTCGGCTGTAGTTTAATTTCTTTAATGCCTCGTCTTATGAAATGAAATATTATATCCTAACATCTGACCACTGAACCGCAGTAAATACCACGAACAGTAAGGTTCTTAAGTAATGGAAAAGTTTAATCACTTCATATCATTAACCTCGTGATAATGAATCAACTTAAAGAACACAGTACGACAAGGGAAAATGTAGTCACTGCATTTTAGAAAAGACTAGCCAGTGGCGTGCCGAATATAGGTCCAAATAAAGCCCAGGCATCAAGTTAAAAAGGAGTAGGTGGTTGTTGGATAATAATTTGTAAATCACATAATTATCGTATATATTTAGGCAGAGAAATATTGATATATGAATTCTGAATAATATGAATTTAAATATGGGTGGATGGGTGGTAATCTAGACTTTGTAATTGTCATCAAAAAATTTTTATCTCGGCACGCCACTGAGACTAGCTATATAGGATAAACCTTTTACTCATTTGAATTTTTATCAATTGTCTAACCAAAAATAAGTGTTCAAATATATGTAGGATGGTACTATTGTTCATTGTACAAGAAGCAACCAAACATGCAATTTTATTCTACATCGATTTTTTAAATAAAGTATTAATCATTACATTTTATCATAATTCTTCGCTTAAAGAAATATATATGAAAATCTATCGTTAATATCAAAATCATAGATATAGTAAATCATTAAAGTTAGATATTACAAATATTATTATAAAAGTTTTGATGACATTAAAATGAATTCATATTAAATAGAAATTATATATTTGTTTATTTTTATGAAAATTTTTATTTTAGGTGTTAGTAATTTCTTTAGCGTAAAATATGGAAATAAATTTGAATGGTCATATTCTACAGTTAATTTTAGTATACAACTTTCAGTTTAACGATGTATTGTTATTTGCAACAATGGATAATAATAATGAAAACTCTAAAATTTAATATTCATATATATTTGAATAGTATTGAATTTTAAATTATGACCTCATTCTAATTCTACGCAATTGTATAAAATAACAATTTTAAACACAAAGAAGACCATTAATAGCATATAAATTATTTACATATTTGAAATTGATACCATATGCAAGATAGCAATGGACTGGTGTTAGTTCATAACATCATAGCAATATATTAACATATAAACATTGAGTAACTTAGATTCATCGATTACAAAATATTGTCAAAGTAGTTGAGATTCAAAGATTAATATACGAAGTATGATTAATAATAAAACGATGAAAATCATAAATAATATAAATTACAAATAAAAAATAATAATCAGAGAAGTCTTTGATTTCATGATAAGAAAAATAATATAAAAAAAATAACTCACTCAAGATCTATAGCTATACACTCGTATAAACCTATAATGTAAAAAATGAGTTCTCATATACTGCAATAAATTGTGTACGAGTATTATTAAATTAATAATAACAAGAACCACAACAAAAATTATAAATACAACTATATATGAATACATAAATATAATAATTATATTAAACTATATCATATTTTACTATAAAAATATATATATGTATGCTCTTATATAAGTGTAATGGTGATACAAATTGAAAACTGTATCTAGGCATGGCCTATTTTCAACAATTTATTCATATTTATATGATTGTAGTGGCAAATTTAGTTTAGGTGTGTGATAAGTGATGAAAACTGAGTTGTAGAGTATGTTTATAAAGATATATAATCCTCAATTATTTTTATTTTAACTGGTGCATATGAGATGTGAATATCGACACACTGGGTGCAAATAACTAACCATAATTGCATTTTATTTTTAGCAGTGATGGAGATGAAAAGTTAGTCTCGCAGAATTAATAATTTATACACGTTTTTCTATCGTATTACAATCATTGATCGATATTATAATTAATAAGTAGACCATAAAACTAATTTTATTCGCATAAAATTTAAACATTCGAAATTAACACAATACAAAATTAATCGTTGATAGAAATATTTATAACACAACCAGTGTATTTACAAATTATATAATAGGCCATACAAATATACAAATATAAAACAAAAATCAACTATCATGAAACAAGTAATTGATAAATTCATATAATATATGTTAAAATTATAATTTATAACACTGTTATAGAATGTCCTAGACAACTTTATAGTAATATTTCATTATCAATAAACAAATATGCAATATACTGTAGAATTAAGAAAAGCCACGATACAAGATTTCATGGAGCCATGACCCGCCTAACATCAATATTACGTTCATTATATTTATTTTAAAACTATTATATGCATGAATGTATCACATCATAACTTGCGTTTTTAATTTTTTGTAATATTAACAAATTACATCTTAGGACAGCAGGTTGATTATTAAATCTCCGACAGGTTTTATGCAGTTCTGAATTCATTTCATAATTGCATAGGTATGTTTGAATGATTTAGGTATATGATATTTTAAGGATTAATAAAAATAATTCTATATGCTTTGTTTTATTTGATTAAATAGTCTTTTACATTTTAGAGTTAAATGTGTTACTTAGTCGTTTTTTTTCCAGATAACATGCATTAAATAAAAAAAGAAACAAACAGAAGGAATCTAGTTTTGTTGTATTTCAAAAGAAAACAGACACTCAATTATCTTTTCCAGCAATTATTTTTTGGAAAAAAGAGACTTCTAAGCAGTTATTATTGGAAATAGTTACCATTGAGGCACCGAAAAAATAATCAACCAGAAAAAACAAGTATTTGTAATTTTATTAGAACTACAGCTTTAGAATAAAAATTGAAATGCTAAGTATAAAGGGGTATAATATTATTTGAATCCCTGCCTCAGGTGATATACAAACATGACTCAAATATATTCTCAAATGTGCATGTCTTTTTGTTTTTTTTTTTTTTTTTTTTTTTTTTTTTTGCAAACACGCTACCTACTCTTAATGTAAATTTAGCTACAGAGAAGCAATCATTCTCTACTTTCAGGTGCTTAAATATGATTTCTTGCAAACATGGGACAGAATTTACATGTACATGTTTACATTACCTGGTGTCACTTTGTTAAATATTCATAATTAAATAGATATTAATATCGACGACATAATTTCTAGATTTAAAAAACAGAAAACAAGATTGAATCATGCCATTAATTTTATTGTATAATAATTAATTATATTATAAGTAATTTTTGTTCATAGTTAACTTTCATAATTTTTAATTATGTATTATATGTTTATTCTCTCAAAAAAATACCCTCCCCAAATTTTACTTCTAGATATGTGCCTCAGAGCTGACACTATTAATTAATTTAACACTATTTATACATTTATTTAGAACTACGAGCTAGATTTATCATTTGTAAGGATTTATACAGTTATAAAATAATATAATATAATCTATTTAGATCCAATTTAGTTCCAATGAAAAAATATTTATTATACCTACTGTTGTTCTAAAAAAGTTCAATGTGAAAATTATTGTAAATTATTGCAGTGACTTTTAATATTGTGTTCATAGAATTTAAGGATAAATAATAATTAAACGTGAACGTGTTATGAGTAAAAATAATTTATTTTCACAATGAATTCCAAAAGATATCATATACATTAGTGCTCTGCATGGTCTGGTCTAGTATGGTCCTAACATACAATAATTATTCAATCGTCGGTTTGACTCAGTTCAATAATTTTTAGGTGTTTTTCGGTCAAGTTCTCAGATCAAATGCATTATTTTCACTCCGGTTCCGATCATGGTACTTATAATCTAAATACAAATATTGTTATATAAATAAATAAAATGAAAAAACCTACAACTTTAGATACATATTTATTTATAAAGTCGGGTAGTCCGGTTCAGTATAATACTAAACGCATCTTATAGTACGGTCTAGTCTAATACAGACTGAACCTTACGGACCGTTCCATAAACGGTCCCAAATGTTTTAAGATCGAACCAACAGTCTGGTCTACAGTCTACTTTATTAAATGTTATTTATTTACTAGTCAAGTCCAATCTAAAAATAATATGAAGCCGTCGGTTCGATTCAATTTTTGTTAACGTTTAAGCATCGTCAGGTCCGACTTCGGTCCCTTGGTAAAATTTGAAGTCCGGTCTGGTCTTTAAAATAACAGACTGTGCAAAGCACTAATACACATACTTGAAATTAACGCATCAAATTTACCGTACATTCTAACCTTCTGATAGTGTTTCATTATAAGTTGCATTATTTGTATAATATCGTATACTATCTAATTATCAATTAGTGTTTGACTATGGGTTGTATTATGATGATCGAAAATCATATTTCTTGTTTTACAATTTGAAATTTCAAAACAAGAGTTATTATTCGAATGGCCAATGGCAAGAACAAATCACTTTAACTTTCCAAAAACTACTATCATTTAAACATGAATTTATTATTATTATTTTTAACGAGTTAAATAAAGAGAGGTTTGGTTAGAATAGGTAAATATGTTCAACGAAATATGATAGAAATACTTATATATTTCAATAGTTATATATAAATTATTTTTCATTTATTTATAGGCATTTGACTAAAAGTTTTATTTTATTTTTATAAAATTATTTTTCAATTAAATGAAAAATATAATGCAGTATTGGCTAATGAGGTAATATTAAGTTCCCGCTACTTAAGTTTATCCCCGATTCATTATCAGAAGAAAAAGACATCGATAATCAACTTGGTAATTATATATTAAAGTAGTTTTTTCCAATAATGACATTTTATTCTAATTTTAAACAAGTATATTTATAGCTACGATACTTATTTTATCTATTTTTATACCATAACGTTGTATGCTTCCTAAAATTAGTATTTTCTAACTATTTCTAAATAATAAAAATTTTATTTCTAAAAAAAAAAACCTGGTAC